AATCATGTGCCATGTGTCTCGCCATTGTTTGTGCAAACTTTGGTGCCACTACTCATGAACAAGGTAAGAAAGAGAATAATCACAGTTTGTCAACAAAGGGGATACTCATTGTTTATTCAGTCAGCGTGATCCGTGGTGCAACTCAACTATTCTTCGAGTGTGGAGGAAGCCCAGCAGCAGCATCTTCTATCACCACAGGTAGCAATTTCCTTGGCAAAGCAACAGGTCCAGCAAGTACCATTTACAGTGGCAAACATGATGGCTTCGCCCTTTACTTTGCACGTTTGGTTGCCCCTGTTTGGAATCTCAAAGTATTCGAAATCACGTAAGTTATGCTTTTTGTTAATCCTCGTTTCTTTATTAACAATGATACATTGTTTTGAATCATCATTATATAGTAGCCAACCAAAGGCAACTCAAAACACCAGCAAACTGCAAGCCAAGCTCTTGGAATCACAACGTGACCTTGTACGCTTGAAGAGCTTCATGGATGCGTAAGTGTATTTATTTATATACGGGATTCCAAATGTGGATCTAACGTTTTCTCCATAGCAACCAAGAATTCCATGCATCGGCCAACATTACAGATTCACGATTCCAGTCTGCCGATCAAGGAATGCTCCAAGTACTGGTGGTAAATATTGCATCAATCGTTATATAACTTGAACGCTAACAACATTATGGATGTAGAACGAACAACAATCGCTCCACAGTCTATATATTCTTCTTACACAATGCATTGAAGCAATCTCGTTCCTCGACTTTTTAATCGATGCAGGCATCCAAGAGATATTGCAATGGTAAGTAATATCTTGCAGAAAATGAATGATAATTGACATTTTGGCACATTAGTATCTCCGAAAGTGCTAGAAGCGAAATGCATAATTTATCACTCGATGCCATGCTCAAGGATCCACGTGGACGTGTCATGACGAGAGAACTGGTGATTGCTGCAATCAACAAGTATGGTGCTTCGCACACCCATGTTGGCTTTGATATTGTCAGTGATCTGCTGCGACGTAAATGCAGTTCATTCTTTGGTCCAAGTGATGTTGCTTTCTACAAGGTAATTGGAACACACGTGATATCACACTATAATTAAACTCATTAATACCCTTATTTTATAGGGTGTGGAAAACTTACGACGAGCACAACGAGCTGATGTTGAACATGAACGATACCATGCATTGACTGAATCACTGGATCTCTTCAAACAAGCAGCTGATTATTTGACGGATGAAAAGTTGGCAGAGATTTGCGCTGAATATGACCGACAGCATTATTATCTTGGTTCTGTTGAATTACCACTTGAACGTGCACAAAAGCTTGATCCACAACAACAAGCACTGGCATATACCGAAGGCCGAGCTCCATTTGGTGATGCCGCTGGTCAGCAATTCCATCAAGAGCGAAAGCGATGTTACGAGCACGTGTTTCGAGCTTTAAAATCTGTACGAGCTTCATGCAATACCCCTGATGCCAACCGCCACGCTGAAGCTGTTCATTATGCCAACCGGGTTCTCCAAGCGGCACTTTCATATCAAGACAAACATTTCCATTACGAACTATACGAATGGTTCCTTCAAGAAGGTCTCAAGAGGGATCTTTTAGTGGTTGACAGCAAATTCTTGATTCCATTCTTCAAGGAACGCGTTTCAGAAGTGGATGGCATGGACTTTTTATGGCAATATTACCGGAGGAAAGAGCAATACTATGAAGCAGCACTTTATCTGGAAGCATTGGCATCACGGCCGAATGGTCTACCCTTGATAAAACGGCTGGAATATCTGGCATTAGCCATGGTCAATGCAAGGTGTCGTGATCCGAAACAACAAAAAGCACAAGAAAGTACACAGCTGCTTCAGCAACTTGAAAAAAGTATTGAATGTGCCCGGATACAGATGCGCTTACAACATGCACTACATGCCATGGCAACGGCAGAAAGTCAGCAGGCTGCAAGAGACCTTGACAATGAGTTGCTGGATTTGAGCGATCTTTATAACAAGTATGCTTGTCCTTTTGGTATAATAGATGAAGAACGTGCTATCATGAAACTAGCAGATTACAATTATTCAGATGAATCTTCCTATGTTACTCCTGATATCTTTAAATAAATAAAACCGAATCCATAAACATCAACGTTTGCAACAGCGTTATCAATATTAAATGTACTCTGCTACTAGGCAACGATGCTGGTTGATTTGATGCATAAATGATTCAATAGTGCTTCCCGAGACACGGGCGGGAGATATGCATAATAGTATGGATCCATTTATGCACTCATTGAATACTAGCATAGCAACGGCTTGTCATCAAATGAAAATAATACAAGTAAAACATGTTGACAATAATGCATCCACAGCTTTATTCTTTTCAAATCAACTTAAGCCTGTCTCGGTAATCTCTATTTATACTTCCACTTTATCCAAATCCGCCTTTTCTTTCTTCATCCTAGCTCGGCATTCTTCATCATTTTCCTTTGCGCACACATACTTTTTTACACAACTCTCTTTTGATACAGTAATAGTGTCTGGTGCTCATTAACTTATCATTTCAACCGATATCCAATTGTCCTACCTATCACATAACCCTTTTACCCTTTGATAACCTTCCTATCAAACGCATTCTTTACACTTGGTGTTTATTGTGAATCAACCCATCCATTTCACACTATCCAAAGCCATTACCTAACACCTATATAATCAAAATCAAATGGCTTGGCACTGAAATACTATTATCGCAAAAGGAAATATTTTGACACTTTACATGAATGCAAGCATTCAAAATGTGCTGGGACTTGGGATCAAGACTGGTAGTATGATTCAACATCCTAGTTAAAAAAGTGACTGGGCCCTAGATATTCTGAGTTTCTAGGTCCTAGATAGTCTTGAGACTAGCATCCTGCTCCCCTTTCTCCGCTCCTTAATTGACAATTCATCTTGTAAAACTTGCTGAGCTCCCCCAAAATATATCACAAATTCACCATTGCATTCTACATCATCTCGGCTGCATTCTGGTGTAATTTTCTTATTAGTTTGACCATTTTTTTCGAAAGAAATTTTTTGAAACGTAATGTTCAAACCAAGTGCACAAAAACCGACACGTGTGGTGCTAGAGATGATTCAAGAATATCCGGGGAGGTAAGTTGTGTATATAAGGAATATAAAATAAGAAAAGCTCCACCGGCAGATAGAAATACAAGCAATAAAATGGTCAAATGTAAAGGGATCAATGTCCACTATAGACTGATATATCAACCTGCAATAGACAATCGAAAAATAATCAAAAGGGAGAGGGAGTAAATGTAAAGGATACAATCGAGTATAATGTATGAATAATCTAAAGGATAAAAGGGATTCTAGTCCGCCCTATAGTCAACGACCAGCAATGGAAATCAATATATCTTTAATCTTTGACTTCAACAAGCTTGTTATTCTTTATGCAACAATGATTTCATTTTATACTCAATGAAACTAATGATAATGATAATGATGGTGTGTTTGTGTGTGTGCGTAAAAGTGCGCATTGATCAAAGAGCCTGGTCTACAGCCCAGAGAGTTGGATCTTCATTATGATGTCCTTGTGGATTCTTGATCCAGAAGATATCGTTTTGCTGCTAATGGAAGCTGCCAAAAGTTGGTAGCTTCCGGGTCGCCAAATGTGCATGCCCTGCCACCTTGTGCTTTGTGGGTGTGTCTGCGTACTGTGTATCGTGCATGTGCGTGTGTGTGTGTGTGTGTGTGTGTGTGTGTGTGTGTGTGTGTGTGTGTGTGTGTGTGTGTGTGTGTGTGTGTGCGTGCGTGTGCAGTAATGATGAGAATCAGTATGGGTAGCACAAATGGTGCATTTGTGCAAGTCGTGCATGTTGAATATGCCATAGTCAAAAGCAGACCTGCTCTATGATCAAACTGTAATACAAATCATTGCTTATGTTCTTATCCCTATACATTGTGTCACATCCACATGTGTGTGCGAAATTGCTCGGATGTGTGGATCCTGTACCCAATTATGAAATGACTTTGAATAAAGTATAGGTCAACCAATGTATTGTGAAAGTGAACGATCTATATCTTGGTTCACGACAGAGGACAAGGAACTATACATTGAGCAGATCTCTAAGATATAACCATGCACGAGTTGAGTGTGGATGACCAATATCCTAGTCAAAAAAGTGACTGGAGTGAGATATTTGGTAGTGAAAATGTATTACGACTGAAAGTACGTTGAGACTGAAAGATAGTTATGCTTTATTCTTATCACTCTATCGCTTTAAATAAAGATTTTACGAGAGGTTTTAGATGACAGATTGTCAAGAAAGATTAAGAACAGGAACCAATGATTGATGTGTACTTATCAACTAGTCGGTTGTTTCACTTGGCCTTAGCTTGTCCCTTAGATCTTAATAGGTTTCAGTTACTTCTAGATCATCCCCGATGTGTAAATTCTGGAAATACATTAATCCTTTATCATTCAGTGTCTGAAATATCACATGGAGCCTAGATAGTCGGAGGACCTTGATCCTAGATAGTCTTGAGACTTGGACTGAAATATTATTTTCTCAAAAGATTTTGGCAAATGCAAACATCATACATGTTGGGATAACCTACCTGTAATGTGCGTGGAAATAACAAGAAAAGATATATTATCGCTACTGTACCTTTTCTATATCTTCATGTATATATTACACTGTAAAGCGTCTAAGCAGTACGGGATATAACTACCTGAAGATCCTAGTCAAAAAAGTGACTGGAGCCTAGATAGTCGGAGTATCTTGATTCTAGATAATCCTGAGACTATCCACCTTATTGATGATACATCTTTTAATCCTAAATTACTCATTGTTGACCTCCCCAAAAAATATATCAAGTTCATCATTGCATTCTACATCATCTCCGCTGCATCACAATCTAATTTTCTTATTGATTTGACCACTTTTTTCATTTTCAAAAAGGAAATTTTCCGAAATATTATGTTCTTATCACTGAAACAAAATGTATATGGGTCCCATAGCACAAATGGTAGTGCATCCGACTCCAGATCGGAAGGTTGGGCGTTCGAGTCGCTCTGGGGCCATTCTTTTTATGGATCCGGCAAGTTTTTATTATGGGTCTCCTAGGATTTGGAGTGGTTTTTTGTTGGGTGTTGTTGTTTGTGTGTACTGTAGTGTCGTACTTTTTGTTTTATAAAAATGATATGTGCCACACAGGCTAGAAGATAAAGTGAAGATAAGATATTCGATGATGTTTATTCATGCACTGCTATGGTTATTTACATTTGATAAGAGAATAAAAGAAGGGGTATATGAATATGAAATCAATATGTGTAAAAGAAAACATTAATATAAGTCCTTTATAGAACTGGATCCGACAGTAGAATAAAGACAAGATGTTCGATCATGCTTATTCATGTACTGCTACTGGTTATTTATATGTGATAAGAGAACAATGAAGGGATATATGAATATGGAATTGGATCCGGCATCAGAATTGGCTGCAAAGCAAGGCCAGGATAACAATTATAAAAGATATGTTTTTACCGGTGATAAAGATGATCATTTATTCTTGTGTATTAAAGTGTGTAACTTATAGAAACAATGGGGATGGAAAGATGTGACCGTGTGATGTATTATGTAAAAGGAATGTGGATTCAGATCATATATCTGATGACTTTTTCTTGGTAAATGTGTTTTGCATAGCTGGCATGTCAACTGTTGTAGCAACATAATAGAACTTTTTGATCGGCAGTCATCTTTGACATCTCTTTTATGCTGCACCTGACATATTCTACTTTGCCATATCATCATTATTACTTGGTGATTATATACTTTGCCCCATCTCAGCGATTATAAATAGTAGACCATTGCATCGAATAAAACATTATATTACGTTCTCGTTATATTTGCCTGTGTGAATCCAAAAAGCAAGACGACACAACTGACAGAATGCTGGATGTGAAAGTAGGAGAAATGTGTTCTTTATGCATAACATGTGGTAGTGATATATATATATTGTATACAAAATAATCATACAATGGGTGTCATGACAAGGAGTAATATGTTAAATGTGCGATAGTAACATGGATGGAATGTAGGACATGACACCAATTCCTACTGAGATGATATCGACTCTGGATTACAATGGCATATTCATCATGCATGTGGCGTTTGGGTGAAACTAAGAAAACGGGCAACAAGAAAAAGATACAGTGAGACCATTGATAGCTGTCTTTATTACCATGTCTCTACCTTATGCTATATATATTGGATTGTGATAAGCTTAAGGAGTAAGGGATATGATATTTATGCAATAAGGATACGCATGTCATACTGGCATGCTACAATGCATCCATCGATTTCGACATAGCTCGACAATTAACCAAATTTTATGCATGCTTTGATGACTCTTGTCATAATTGTAATTTATATATAGTCGAGATCCATCATTTGCCATTTGGCATACGCTTCTTGCAATTCCGGTAGATTATGATCTTGACAGCTTTATTTCTAACATCTCGAATATGCAAACACTCAACGAGCAGCATACACTTAACACATGGCTCGCATATAACTCTCGCTTAGAAGAGCAAGTGCAAGCACAAGCTCATTCGCATCAAGGAGAGTATCAAATGTTTCTCGTGCGCTAGAGTAAAACAGCCACACTGCTGATTGTCTTGAGCTATTCTCACCTTCAAAACAAAAGCAAGCACAAACCAAAGCGCCAAGAAAGATAAAGATAGCTTTGATATAGGAAAAAGGTAATGATTAAAACCATCGTCTCTACTGTTGTATGAAGCACAATAAATGTATGATAAAAAGACTTGCAAGTCGGTGAACCTGTATTCAGATAATGATTCCTGTGTGCAATATAGTACACTTATATATTTCTATTCTAGCAAGATCCCTTCTCGAGCGATTTCCTGAAAGCAGGTGCTCCTTCTGCCTTGAAACGGTGTATCCTGGGGAAAACTCCATGGTACGCTTTTCGAGATTATGGGGACAGCCAGCTCGCAAATGCTTCTCCTCGTATGTTTTGCGATCAGAATGAGCACCTTTTCATTACACACTCGCTTGGAATGGTTTAATATGGAAAACGTAAAGGGGTGCCTTGCAGGTATTTATCCAATACATGGTATGTTCACTACAGCTCTTGCACTTGTGTTCTTGTAGAACAAGGGCAGAAATCCACTTGACAACACTCCGACCTTGGTTTAACCCAACAGCATCATCATAATTCAGCTAAAACACAAGCTTGTTATCCAAGAGTACTGTAAGCATTAAAGACCTTGGCTGATCGCCAATAAACATAATGCACTGCATGATGCATCTTGCTGTACAAAATCGTACGTAGAAAAAAAGCTGCCCCTGATGATCATCATTTTACTTCCCTTTTCCTTGCAGCATCAAGATACATTACGTAGCAACCGACATGACCATAGAAACAACTCATACCAATGACGCTACCCGCCAAGATCAACAACAATCGATTGGCAGTGTTACTAGCAGTACCTGCTCTGTTACTCCTATTGGATCACTCCATCACAAGGAAAACGATTCAAGTTCAATTGATGAAAAAGACACTGATACAATACAAGGATCCATATCAGAGGGGATACGGAATCCAGGATGGCTAACAGTGCTCGGTACCTTTATAATCAACTTTTATACATGGGCTATGCTGGTGAGCTGGGGAATTTTCCAAGTGCTGTAAGTAGGTCATTGAAAAGTAAAAAGAAGAAAGCTCATATGACAATCATATAGATATCTGGATGTTTATGCAGGACAAACAGACGAGTTTCGAATTGCATTTGTTGGAACATCAGCAAGTGCCATTGTACTTGGAATGGGCCTTGTATCGCCATGGTTGGTACGCTACCTTGGTTTCCGAGTAATGATTGTGATTGGATCCATCTTGTGTCCTTTAAGCATGGTGCTTGCTAGTTTTGCAAGCGAATTATGGATGCTATACTGTACACAAGGCATCATGCTTGGAATCGGAGTGGGCTTATGCTATACAGGATCATCTACATTGCCATCATATTGGTTTATACGCAACCGTGCATTTGCTACAGGGGTAGCAGCAAGCGGCACATGTCTCGGTCCAATGATTTTTTCACCCATTGTCCAAACACTCATACTTCATCTCGGCTATCGAAACGCTTTGCGTGTGCTCGGTGGTATCGGCATTATACTCACTGGCACTGGTACTATTCTGATTCGCACACGCGAATCTTCATCACATGATGATCAACAACAAGATCACCCACATAAACCTTTGCATGATCGATCAGAGACAATGTTTACTTGGTCGTATATATTCTATTTATTGCATTCGTTCCTCGCACCATTTGGTTATGTCGCACCTATATTTCTTGCACCATCTTATGCATCTTTCATTGGTGCCACTCCAGAGTTGGCATCCTTGTGTTTATCTATTGTGGAAGGAGCTAATGGTATAGCACGCATCCTATTTGGATGGTTGGGTGATCATGGCTGTGGGCGAATCAACATTGTCGTTCTGACAACATTTGCATCAGGCAAGTGAAAAGATAAGCTTTATAAGATACACTGACTAATGATGATACAAAAGGGGTGTTTACAATGGCAATATGGGAAAAAGCAGATACAGTGCCAGTGTACATGGTATATCTTGTACTATTTGGGCTTACTAGTGGTGTATCTTCAGGGTTACAGCCAGTGATTGCAGCTGAATTGGTTGGATTTGGACGAATTCAACAGGGAGTTGGGTTATCGTACTTCTTATCCATGTTTGGGCATCTCTTTGGTACCAGCATTGTAGGATTACTTCATCTACGCACAGGTGCATGGTTGGCTCCCATTCTCTTTGCTGGATCAGTAACACTTGCATCAGCTCTTGCAGTTCTAATCACTCGTATTATCATTTGTAAACGTGTATTTGTGAGATTATAATAAATGTAGTTGGCATGAAAAAACAACCTTATCTCCTTTGTGTGACATTAAAAAATAGACATCACATCACGCATTTTGCTCCTTTTCTTGTTTGCATATTCCCGCCACTCTCATTTTATCTCATGTCGAGTAATACCAGTAAAACCACGTCAACGGCTTCAAAACGACGTTCAACACTGGCAGAACTCGGTATTAAGCCAACTGCACCTACTGCTCAACCAGGGTCTCCAACGCCAACCAACAAGGCTTTTGCAGCTCAATCTACTACTGGTGTCAATCGACGTGCTAGCATTACAGGCACTCGTGCTTCAAAGACACCAGGTACAACACGACCACGTCCATTGTCCATGGTAGGCACTTCAGCACAACAGCGTCCTCCATTATCCCCTACTATTCAACGATCCACGAGTAATTCAGTGACACGATCGGCATCCACCACTCGAAAAACACCAGCTGCCATCAATACTACAAGAGCAGCTGCTTCTCGAGCAACTGCAACACCTTCACCAACAACAGCTACTGCAGCTAAGCGACGCTCAGTAATAGGTACTTCTTCAAATCAGCCACCAACCACCCCTGTTCCTCGAGCAAGAGCGTCAACTATTAGCAAGCAACGTTCTTCTACACCACCCACCACTGTTGGTTCCCCTTCGCCTTCCAGCTCAGTTGTCGTTGCCAAGGATCAACAGATCAAGGAGCTTGAGAAAATGGTAAAGTATCCAATGAGAAGAATCATGTGATCTCTTTAATTTTTGCCAACATGTTGCAATATCAACATAGCTTTCTGATAAGGAAAAGCAATTGGAAAGCAAGGATCAGTTGATTCAGGAAATGCAAGCCAAGATGGCTGATTTGTCAGGATCAGAGAAATCATACGACCCTACTACGCCCATGTTGTCATCCTCTTCTATGCTTATTCCATGCGACTCGTCAGTGGATTCGGAAAAAGAGATCAAGCTCGATATGGACAAGCTTAAAAATCAGGTTAGTGCACAGACCTTTATTGCATGAATTAAACTCATGCAAGCCGAAATGTTTCACATTCTAGTACCAGTCCGAAATCGACAGTGTCCGCCAACAACTTGTAGAAGCTCATGATGAAAAGTCAACAGCGGTAAGTTTATTGATATACACTTTTAATATGATC